ATAAAGAAACAGGCTGTTAGCTCTAACTTTGCACACTTATAAGAATAATGAGGATTTAAACAATTATAAAACATATTTACTGAATATTTAGAAGTAAACTGTTTCTCTCACAGCTGCATGGTAAGTCTTTTGACTGATACCAGCGTAGTATATCTGGTCATAGAAGAGGTGTTTATACCTGTGTAATGAATAAACTGGGATCAATAATGGGGAAATCAGAGCAGAATTTTCCCTCAGGTCATACTAAATTTCATGCCTGCACTAGACAATTCATATTATAAAATCTAGCATGGTAGACATAGCTAGAGTAGCTTTTTGAAACAAGAGTTGATACAAAAAGTTTTGGTATAGGATAATTAATTTATTATTGATTTAAAAATTTAAGAAATATAATAAATTCTAATGCATTGAGTTATCAGAAGAAAGAAATGCAATCCTATTTCATGAAGTTCATATTTGTTGTAAGTTATAAACACTAGGACTACAAACAGTACCTAAATGTCTTCCCATCTATCTCTCCACATACCTAAAAATTAATGTAAAGAATGAAGACAAATTATATCTCGGACTAGAAAGAAAACAAACAAAGAAACAAAAAAACCCACCACCACAACAACAAAAAACCAACATCATTCTGTTTTTCCTGATGTTTTCCTTGTACTAATCCTGGAATTATACTGGAAACCAGGAAGGGTGCAGCCACGATCTTACTGAAGTCAATTGTAGAATTTTACTCACTGTGAGGTTTTCACTCTAGTGTCAGGCAGCAGCTGAGGAGACTGACAGCTGGTCTCCTTACATAGCCAGTGAAAATAAAAAATTATGTATTTGCAATATGTCTTTGCTGCATTAGGCAAATTCAAAGCAGATTAAATGCAAGAAGCATGTTGCCTTAGTGAAGTCCTAGAGATGAAACAGTCCTGGAAGTAGCTACAAGTCTCTCTGCTGAGTATAAGTGCTGTAGGGGGTAACGCTGGCTATCATCAACATCACTGACTGAAGGTGCACTTAGCCTACCAGTTGCTAACACCAAAAGCTGTTAAATTAAGTGAATAAATAAATTTAACAAAAGTTTTCTAACCAGCTCATTTTTTGAACAATCCTTGACTGGTACCAGCAAAGGAAAGGTAAATTTCTTCAGAGTATGGGATGAACAAATCTGCTAGCTATTTTGTGCTTTTTCCATCAACGTGTCAGTCAATAAACCTGTATGGACTGATACATTGAATATTGAGTGATGTTCCCTGAAACGCTCAGATGGGAATCCTTGGAGATATGAATTGCTTATATTTAAATAATTTAATTTTGCTCAATTTACTTAAGTTATAAGTAAACTTCAGTGATAAAATACTGAATGTTTTTGGTTTAGGGTGTGATTTTCCCAAACAGGCAAGGTTGCTTATACAACTATCACAGGTTTGACACACCACTGTTGTATTTTATTTACACGAGTGTCGTGACCTTTTGCAGGAACAGGATGAAGCTAGCACACAGACTAAGCTAGTAATTGTCCATATTAAAGAAAAACAAATCTAAATGAATATAACAAAACTGATACCAGAGGAAAAGCTGTATCCACTGAGTTGAGGTAAAAAACAGCCACTGACTCAGTATTTATGTATATAGTGTAAACAACAGTGGAGAACTGGGTCAGATTTTTGGCTCCTTTTGACCAGAGGAAACATTTATGTTCCTTTTCAAAAGATATTTTTCTCACTGAAATGCTACAGCATTGTAAGAGGACATTGAGATAGCAATAGTTCTGGTTTTAATAGATAGTTGATAAGGATTTGAACACTGCAGCTTTTTTTTTCATGAAGGTTGTAGTGCTCAGAACAATGCAACTGCCTCTCACAAAACGGATTGAAGATGTGGAGATCACACAGAAACTTTAAGGAAGGTTGTTTAAGAGGGCATTTTGGTACTGGATGTACTGAAGTGGAGCCTGTAGTGCAAAGTGCTGGGAAAATGTCTATAGGCAAAAGGAGTTGCCTGGGTTAGAATTGAACTCATCTGCCATGGTGCACGTAGTCCTTTTTCAACGGAAGTGATGGACATCCCACAAGAAGAGTCTCAACAGGAAGCTGGATTTGTGTCTCTTCAAAAACATCAGAAATTAAACTCCTGTCTTTGGAGGGGAAAAAAATCCCATACTTGAGTAGTGGATGTCCTTAACGTACAAGGGGATTTGGGTTCGTAACTCAGATGAGCTCTTCAACTTGCGTGCAAAGTGGAAGCTACTTTTGAACCATTTCTCCCTGGTGCCTGTGCTTTGCTTATCTAATCAAATAAAAGGAAAAGAAATTATGCAAAAATCTAGATAAGATGAAGGGAAAGCAGAGGGTTAAAGGAGAAGCAATGCAATGATGATAAGCCAATGCACAAGCATAAATGACCTTGGCTGTGAAAGGAGTAGAGGAACTGTCAAAATAAAGTGATTGAGAGAACCATTTTCCTTCTTAGGAAATCAGTAGTTGACTTCATTCTTCTCTAATTACGCCTGAGTCAGAATTAGCTGGGTTTTATTAATCCAAAAACTGTTTAAATTTTTCCAGACAGTCAAATGCCGCATTGCTTAGTAGTTGATGTGTCTCTTGGAAATCAAGATGCATTTAATTTGCAAGATGATCCTGAGTAATGCTCAGTAGTTTGCATTATATTAGAAATACAATGCATAAACCAGACTGATTCTCAGAGGGGACAAATAGAGATGTGGGGGGAAAGTAGTTTTAAACACTTCTTCTTCCCGCTTTCCTAGATTATAACCTGCTCCTCATCCACTCCTCACCCACCTAGAGGAGTTCTGGCCTCATGCTCTCCAGCACTCAGCATTTCCTAGCACATAAGGTTATTAGGGTGCAAAACCAGGAAGAATTTTACAAACTCTGTACATCAGAGAGACATGGACGTGTTGCAGCAGGTTCAGAGGAGGGCCACAAAAGTGATCAGAGAGCTGGATCACCTCTCCTATGAAGAAAGACTGAGAGAACTGAGGATGTTCAGTCTGGAGAAGAGGAGGCTCCAGGGAGACATTATAGTGGCCTTTTAGGACTTAAAAGGGGCCTAGAAGAAAGATGGGGACAATCTTTTCATCAGGGCCTGTAGTGACAGGACAAGGGGTAATAGTTTTAAAGTATAACAGGGTAGATTTATACTAAATAGAAGGAAGACATTTTTGACCACGATGGTGGTGAAACACTGGCATAGGTTGCCCAGAGAGGTGGTAGAAACCCCATTCCTGGAAACATTCGAGGTCAGGTTGGACAGGGTTCTTTGAAAATCTCCCTGCTCCCTGCAAGGGAGTTTGACTAGATGACCTTTAGAAGTCGCTTCCAACCCAAGCCATTACTATGATTCTATGGTTAGGAATTAGCCAGTGCAAGAGCACCAGGAGTGTGCATGTGTGTATGAGCGCACTCCTAATGATGGTCAAGACCAGTCTTGTTCCAGCTATTTGAACAGTGTAAGGCAGGCAGGGATGCATTGGTAACAATAGCAAGAACTACAAAGAAACTATGTAAAGCCATGAAAGCCATGCAGGAGTACAGGTGAGGACCCAAGGTCTAAACTCGACTGAACCAGCATGAGTTTTAACACTCACACTTTAAGCCTCACACTTTCAAGTATGATTCAAGCTGTAAATGCTTGGTCAGTTTACTTTAGGTTTCATTGGCTAAAATAGGCATTTAGATGTCTATATGTAGACACTAAATTTAGGAGTCTTAACCTGGAGCTGAATTCCACCCTGTATGTCCCTCAGGAACTGCCAAACTGGAGGTCGCTAGCTCCTCCAGAGGAGGACGCTAGGCCACATATGCTCAGATTTGGCCTCCTGCCTTTTTTCCTCGGTTGAGAGCTGTTTCCTACCACACGGTTACAGAACGGTTGTGACGCGAGTCCTACTCTGGTATCTTTTACAGAGACACACATCGAGCTAGCCTTGGGCCCACTGTCTAGGCAGCTGAATGTCTGCACAACTGTACTCACCACCAACTTGCACAAACCTGTTACATACATAATTTAACACTCCTGTACTCCTTGGGGATATTGCCATACAGCATCTAGCACAAGCAGGGTCACAGGCTGCTTTTGTGAGGCTGAAATGTTACAAGACTAAATTAAGAACTCTGTTAGTACTTCAGACCCAAAACCAAACTCCAAACCATGTAATTATTCTTCACCATCACCACCATGTTTCAGGGCACACTGCATTCAAATCTAAGTTGATTTACATCATCCTATCTCCCAGGTTTCTGCAAGAAACCCCCCTTCTAATGTGTGCCTCACAAATTATCCATCCTTTCCTGCATCAAGACATTGCATAGCTGTCAGGGCAGTGATTAGGCTGAAGTACACTAAAAACATCACAAGATAAGGTCTTTTCATTTTATTCTTTCTTTCCATTACTTTTAGCTGTTAAAAGTTGAAAATTTAATAAAAAACCCTTTAGGAAAAAATATTTTGAATCACATAAAGTTTATTTACTTAGTAAAATTATATTACAATATATACAGCTTCTATTTACATATACACCTTTCTAAAAAATGAAGCACCATATGATACAGTTAGTATTTTAGAGGAATTTACAGAAATTTTATTTTTGCATCCTAATAGTTGTATCTACAGGCACTTGTTGTTTAGAACAAAGTTCTCCTAAGACATTGACTTCAGTGGGCTTGGGTTTCCACTGCTAGTGAAGTTACCGAAGAGAAACTTAATTGCTGTCAGCTATCAATTTGCTGTGCTTCAGGATGAGAGATCTTAGCTATGTCATTACAGGGGCTACGTGCAAAACTTAATCCTCAGAGAAAGTCAGACGTGTAGATAGATAGAAGGTATTTCATAAGACACAAGAACGCAACACTTTCATCAGTAAGATTTTTACTGTCATCAGAAACAGAATTTCATTAGAATGTAAAAAGAACACTGCTTAAGTGCTTATAGGCATTATGCAGAGTGAAGTTAAGAACCTGGAAGCTTATGGGATATGGTATCATGTGTTCTCCAAGGAATCCATTTACTCTTAAAGAGCCCAGCCGGAAACCTGTGGCACGGTCCTCTTAACTCAAGCAGAAAGTCTAGCTGTTTGCTTTGTGACCTTCATGCCACTGCCAAGAAAAAAACAGAAGACTCTGTCCAAGGTACAAAATTTCCTTCAAGTGAATGAAAGTCATTTGGAGGAGGAAAATGTAACATGAGGTATTTAATAAACTACAGGAAAAAAGAAAGCGCCTAGACTGTTTCGAAAAACATATTTTACATATGCCATTGTTACATTCACCTGATGTGGGTCAAGTTTTGTATAAACTATTCATACCTTTTGTGCTACTTAATCTACGCTTTTCATATTTTTGCTTCACTAGATGTCAGATCTAACGGCTGGAAGAAAGCATTGTTACTCTGAGGACAGTTGTTATGACAGACACAAGTGTTGATCAACATCATTGGCTTCTTTAGGATTTTGCCCTGCGGACAGCGGAACTCAACTTGCACTGTTTTGGTGCTGTGTGGGGTACAGCACCGCCCGTCGCTGCAGAGCCCGCAGTAACGAGCCTTGTAACTCTGCACGCTGCTGCAGTTCTTGTACTCAAAGCGAACACCTTTCAGGGACTTCTTTGTCCTCATACATTTCTTCCCTTTCTAAGAGAAAGATGAAGAGACATCAGATATATCACTGCATAAGACAGAAAGCAGTTAAAAATACTCTAAAAACTTAAATGAGTTGCCTTTGTTCAATAGCAATAAGACTCTACAGCGACTTCGGTAGTTACTCACAGGTAACTCCTGCAAGATCTGCCCTTTGATAACAGTGCATTTTGGACCAGTAATAAATGACAAATAATTAAAGCTCATCTGAGACAAGCCAAGCCAACATTCATTAAGAAGCTATACTCTACTGGAAGAATTCTCAGACCAGGTAGTTCCATCAGAGAATAAGGAAGTCAAATGAACATATTACATGACTAGATTCAAGGGGAAAAAAGAGGGCTAAAACATATCTCAAAAGCCATAGTCCATTCTTGTGACCCAAGGCAGAATCAGCTTTATCCATGTTGTTCTTAAGAGGGTTGTCTAACTTGTCCTTAGAAGTCTTCAGTGACTCTACAACTGTCCCAGACAATTCTAATAGTTCACTATTCTTACTGCTTGGCAAGCTGTCACTCGCCTTAATTTTCATGCAGTCTAAACTCACTATTTCTTGCTGTATCCCACATGGACTCAGAGCAGGCTGCAACAGAATGAGAATGCATCTCTATTCTCTTGCATTCAGAAAAAGTTCAGTTCAATCAGTTTTTCCCCAGCTGAACATGTCTTTTTCTTGTTAGCCTCCCCAACTCTTCCCAAAAGCTTCATATCCTTTTCAAAACCCAGTATTTAAAAATGTGCAGAGTATTCAGCACAGGCCTTAGCAACACTTTCCAACACTCGGAGCATGACACAAAGTGGTGGTCCTCGTACCTCTCTGCGTGCTCTTCTCCCTGACAGTAACATTTATCTAGTGTGTAGAAGCAGCAAAGAAGTTACATACAGAATTATCGCACTCTAACCTCTGGATTTGTTTTTTGGAAAAGGCATCATAGTGATTACAATAAGGCTTTATTTACAAAGACAGATTTTGCAGGATTTCACATACTCCTCTGCAGTCCTAGATGCTCAACAGACTAGCTATCTGACGTATGCATTCTGCACGACTGGAGCACCCCTGAGGTACACATACAGGTAGTACAACTGCATGTCTAGAAGGTGCCAGACTGTGTGAGCACATGCAATAAATCTAATCTGTTTGGGGTGGCTCAAATTATCATAGAATCATAGAATGGTTTGGGTTAGAAGGGACCTTTAAGGTCATCTAGTTTAACCCCCTGTCAGGGAGCTGGGACATCTTTAACTACATCAGGTTGCTCAGAGCCCCTTCCAACCTGACCTGGAATGTTTCCGGGGATGTGGCTTCTACCACCTCTCTGGGCAACCAGTGTTTAACCACTCACATGGTCAAAAATGTCTTCCTTCTATCTAGTCTAAATCTACCTTTTTCTACTTTAAAACTATTACCCCTTGTCCTGTCGCTACAGACCCTGATGAAAAGATTGTCTCCATCTTTCTTCTAGGCCCCCTTAAAATCCTAAAAGGCCACCTAAAGGTCTCCCTGGAGCCTCCTCTTCTCCAGGCTGAACACCCTCAGTTCTCTCAGTCTTTCCTCATAGGAGAGGTGATCCAGCCCTCTGATCACTTTTGTAGCCCTCCTCTGGACCTGTTCCAATAGGTCCATGTCTTTCCTGTGCTGAGGACTCCATAACTGGACACATACTCCAGGTGGGGTCTCACCAGAGTGGAGTAGAGGGGGAGAATCACCCCCCTCAAACTCCTGGGTTTTTGTGAAGCACAAATCTACTGAAGAAACAATAAGTCTAATGCTTTCCAAAAACACTGGACTTGCAGCACACGGGCTATTTACGTACACTTGCATCTGGAGCATTGTAGACCATAATGCAGCAAACTTGGAATTGCAGCTGAGGAGACCCTGCTCCCCTGCCACTCTTTGCAGCATACCTTATCAGATGGCTCTTCATTTTCACAAGGTCTTATCATGCAAAGCCGTGTCTGCTTCACCATCTCACACTGTTGATTTCTGTTGGTAACACGGGTGGAGAAGCCCATTCCACAGCTTTTGGAACAAGCACTCCATTCTGTTGTCTGCTCAATACAATTGGCACTTGAATCTGACACATCGACCCCAAGTGTGGCCTCTTGTCTGTAGGCTGGAGACAAAACCCCACAGAATGTTATTACCAAAAAAAAACCCCTCATGTGAAAACGCAGTATCTAACTGAGCTCTACCACGTCTGGGAAGAAACACATGAGACAAAAAAAAAAAGTCCCAAATCCATGCTCTTGACAGGATTTAGGAACTTTTAAAGCTGCCTTTATAGGACCCCTGAGTGGCAACTTCCTACACCTAAAATTAACAGAGAATTGCGTATCAGTGTAATCACCAAGGCATTCAGACTCAGTTCACTCAAGTCCACAGCTGGAAGAATTATTGCCAATTTTTTAACCAGTTTAGGACTCTAATCTTTATTCCTCACTTTTTCCAGTGGAAATACATCACATATCTGTTCTAAAGCTACACCATTAAATATTTGTATTAGATATGATGTGAGAGTGGCTGATTTATCTAAACTAATAAACAGCATGGAAGTAAAGTCCTTTACTTCAAGAGTCATAAAGTCACCCGATCTTGTCAATTATTGACAGATTATAGCCTGGGTGATGGTGGCAAGGGAGGAGGTAAATAATTTCCGGGAGTTCTCGCTGCTACTCAAAGCCATGGCCAGCTCAGATCATTGTTCTGCCCTCACGGCAGTGGGAAGCTCCAAATACTGCTAACTGTACAGTTCAGTTCAGCAATTATCTCAGGTGTAAAGAGAATGAGTCAACATGACTGAGCTGTCAGCCACAGCTCTTGCTGTTAAGCTCCTCTACAAGAGTATTTCTGCCTTTTGCATGGTAAAGCTCAAAAAAGGTGTCCTCCCAAGAGGGATGGCCATTGCAAGAAAGAATGCAGATAATCCATCTGTAGGCATTTTACAGATTAGCCTGTCACTATCAACCAAATCAAAGAAAGCAAAAAGTAATAGAAAAGTGGCAAAATTTTTGCTTATAACCCATGTCCCTTACAACTGACACTTCACAGAACACTGGCAAGTTATTAGAGCATTTCTTCCTAGATCCTTCCTTACTTGTTTTTCAAATGGATTAGCTGAGTTTCAGCATAACTAACTGCTTAAGACCACAAAGATCAGTGACTGGAAGAGAATGCAGTGCCCTCAACCCTCCGTAAAAGTAGCTTATGAAAATTCATGTTGAACTAATAGTCTAATTTGAAGGGGATGGAGACGTAATTCAGTGAAATGGGAGGAAAATATGTAGCTTTATTTTTTTCAATTACAAAAGCAGTTTATGAGTTCTGCGTTTTGGATTTTTTTTTGTTTTTCAGATCCACTCACTACGTTTATAACCACTGTTTCTCCAAGTACTTTGTAATGCTTTTGATGCCAACAATAACGATGAGAGCTCTAGCACAGACAGGCAGGAATTTGTTGGCATTTTAGCAACCATGCTGACCACTTGTAATCGCTGGGGAATTTAATGGGGGGGGGGGAAAGTAGACCAAGCTGTTAGAATAATATTTATGATGCAACATACTCTTGTAGAGCAACTAGCAAGACTGCAGCTTTGATCTGGCAGTGGAAATAACGTTTGAAGGATTATGAGCCTGCCCCTGTTTTATGCCACTCACTGAACTACCCTCTACCAGATAAACAGCAATTTCAAAATTAGGAACCACGTCAGGTGAAGTACCTTTAAAAACTCCTATGCACATTAATTCTCTGAATATCTTTTGTTTGTTGAGCTCTACCTTCATTCATAACCACTATGCACTTACTAGTGACTCTAGATGAGAAAAAAGAGCAGAAAAAAACTACCACACAAAGCAATCTGCCTTAGATGTGGCATCCCCACGGATATTTCCAGTATGATATCACCTCCTTCTCACAAGGACTGCGATAATTAATTTGTTTCCTCACCAGCCATGGCAAAACCTCCCAAAATCACTTCATCTTTAGGGTCACAGATCCACTTCTCACAGCACTCTCCAGGGACTTCGACTTTCCTGGGGACCGGGCAGTCGGGGCCGGGGAGCAGCAGGTCCAGGTTACAGCGGGGCAGGCAGCCGATCTGCCCGTCTCGGCAGGTGCACTGGTACTTGCAGCTGGGCTGGAACGTCTCCCCGTTGCGATAAATCATTCCGTCGAACACGCAGTTGTCTCCCTCCAGCACTGGGGAGAGAAGGGAGCGCGCTGCCCTGAGGCGGAGCGACGCTCGGCACCCAACCCGTGCCCCCCGCACCCGCGGCGGGC